GTGTCACACACGACATTCTGGACAGTGTCACACAAGACATTCTGGACAGTGTCACACAACAGTCATTCTGGACAGTGTCACACAACTGTCATTCTAAATAGTGTCACACAAGTCATTCTGGAAAGTGTCACACAACTGTCATTCTGGACTGTCAAACAACTGTCATTCTGGACTGTCAAACAACTGTCATTCTGGGTAGTATCACACAACAGTCCTTCTGGACAGTGTCACACAACTGTAATCCTGGGAAGTGTCAAACAACTGTCATTCTGGGTAGTACCACACAACAGTCACTCTGAACAGTGTCACACAACTGTCATTCTGGACAGTGTCAAACAACTGTCATTCTAGATAGTGTCACACAAGTCATTCTGGACAGTGTCACACAACTGTCATTCTGGACAGTGTCACACAACTGTCATTCTGGACTGTCAAACAACTGTCATTCTGGGTAGTATCACACAACAGTCCTTCTGGACAGTGTCACACAACTGTAATCCTGGGAAGTGTCAAACAACTGTCATTCTGGGTAGTACCACACAACAGTCACTCTGAACAGTGTCACACAACTGTCATTCTGGAGTGTCAAACAACTGTCAGTCTGGAGTGTCAAACAACTGTCATTCTGGAGTGTCAAACAACTGTCATTCTGACAGTGTCAAACAACTGTCATTCTGGAGTGTCAAAACAACTGTCATTCTGGAGTGTCAAACAACTGTCATTCCTGGATACAGTGTCAAAACAACTGTCATTCTGGACTGTGTCAAAACAACTGTCATTCTTGGAGTGTCAAACAACTGTCATTCTGGACAGTGTCAAACAACTGTCATTCTGGGAGGTCAAAACAACTGTCATTCTGGAGTGTCAAAACAATCGTCATTCTGACAGCGTCAAACAACTGTCATTCTGGACTGTGTCAAACAACTGTCATTCTGGAGTGTCAAACAACTGTCATTCTGGTCAGTGTCAAACAACTGTCATTCTGGAGTGTCAAACAACTGTCATTCTGGACAGTGTCAAACAACTGTCATTCTGGACTGTGTCAAACAACTGTCATTCTGGACTGTGTCAAACAACTGTCATTCTGGGTAGTGCCACACAACAGTCATTCTTGAGAGTAACACAAGTCATCTTGGACAGTGTCACACAACTGACATTCTTGGTAGTGCCACACAAGTCATTCTGGACAGTGTCACACAACTGTCATTCTTGGTAGTATCACACAAGTCAATATGGACAGTGTCACACAACTGTCATTCTTGTTAGTGCCACACAAGTCATTTTGGACAGTGCCACACAACTGTCATTCTGGACAGTGCCACACAGTCATTCGAGAATGTATCACAAGACTATTAACCTGGAACAAGTCCACATAATACACCATTAACAGTACCAAACATCGTCAATCTTGGATAAAGCCACACAACACACTTGGTGTCACACAACACACTCAGTGTCACACAACACACTTGGTGTCACACAACACACCGAGTGTCACACAACACACTGAGTGTCACACAACACACTGAGTGTCACACAACACACTGATAGTGTCATACACCTAAGTGGGTGTCACTCAACACATATGAATATCACACACACCTGACTGGATGTCACGCACGACCCATCTTGGGCATTACCAGCACACAATCACTGGTGAACAAAGAGATACGGCTCACCTTCAACCAGCAAATGTGTGTCTTTATTCCTGGCAATAGAAAGATTGTTGGAAGACCCGCAGCGGTTCACATTTCTCCCACGACCCTCGACCTTTGGTGCTGCTGCTGCCTAACTCTCTTTCATGAAGAACTATTTTTCCTCACCCCACGTCTACCTTCTCTTTAACCTTTAAACCACACTGGATGACATTTTACTTATCAGTGTTTCCATCGTCACAGTCCTG